TATTCTATTATAAATTCATTTTTAATATTTTGGTAACTATATTTTAAAATAATTTATTTTCACATGATCCATGGTATTTATGCAACTAAAAACCTTTCCTTGGTGACCAGCAGACAGCTTGGCAGTTACATTGCTGGACTCCCACATGGCCGACCATGGTTTGAGTCTGGAACCTGGCAGCTTCAAAATCACACTGAGCACATGTGCACGCGTGCCCAAGATCCCAGGAGGGGAATGGAGGAGAAGGGACTATGGTGTGGCCATCCTACCCCCAGGGGTGATTTCTCACTTTCCCTTTCAATGTCTGTCTGTCTCTCTCTCTCTCTCTGGAGAACACATGTGCCCTAAGGCAAAAACCTCTCCCAATAAACAAATAAATAAATAAACAAATAATTTCCTGGGCTGTCTGGTGGCAGGTTGGTTAAGGTGGCTAGATCCCACATAGCCAACTACACATCTGAGTCCCAGACTACACAGCTTGAAAAACATGCTGGTACAAGCATGCCTAAAATCCCCAAAGGAGAAATGGAAGATAAAGGATTTCGGCATGACCATCCCCATGGAGGTGCTTTCTTACTTTCTATCTCTCTCTCTCTCTCTGTCTCTCTCTCTCTCTCGCACATACATCTCACGGAGGGAAATATTCCCTAAGGCTGGCCCTGTAGCCTAGTAGTTAAAAGAAGTCAGGTCCCACATGGCTAACAGTAGTTCAAATTTCAGCTCCAATGGCTTAAAAAAACACTCTGGGCACATATGCATGCAAATCCAAAACCCTGACAGGATGGAGAAATGGAAGAGAAGGAATTGCAGTGTGTCAAACTCCACTGGGAGTAGCTTTCTTCTCCTCCTCCTCCTCCTCCTCCTTCTTCTTCTTCTTTCTCTCTCTCTCTCTCTCTCGCTCTCTCTCTCTCTCTCTCGCTCTCTCTCTCTCTCTCTCGCTCTCTCTCTCTCTCTCTCGCTCTCTCTCTCTCTCTCTCTCTGACAAATGTACACTCCCTCTAGTCTCTCTCTCTCTCTCTCTCTGACAAATGCACAACCCCTCCAGGAATTAAAAAAGAAAAAAAAGAAAAAGAAAGAAAGAAATTTTCTTAAAAATCAGCCCATAGGGCCAACTGGTAGCATGGTGGTTAAGGCAGCTGGTTCCCACATGGCTGATCATGTGGTTTGAGTCTCAGACTCAGCACTTGAGAAACATGCCAGGCACATGAACATATGTGCCAAAAATCCTGAACAGGACAGAGAAATGGAGGAGGAGGGATTGTGGCATGACTATGCCCTATGAGGAGTACTTTCTCGCTTTCCTTCTCTCTCTCTCTCTCTCTCTATCTCTCTCCAGTGAGCACATGTGCCACCTAGCAAATTAAAAAAAAAAAAAATAAGTTAAAGCCAATGAATTTCATTAAACTGCCAAAATATCACACACAAAAAAGTTAAAAGCCCCTGCTCTATAATGCAACAATATTTATTGCTATGGACTGAATACTACAAAATGTGTATGTTGAAGACTAATCCTCAGGGTGATGGTATCTGAGGGCCCAGCCTCTGGAGGTAACTGGGTCAAGAAGGTAAAGCCCTCAGGGATGCGATTAGTTCCTTATGAGAAGAGACCAGAGTGCTAATCCTCTCTCTTCTTGCCACGTAAGGATGTGAGGACGTAAGAGGACAGTCACTAGCAAATGAGTAAGAGAGCCCTCACCTCCAACATTTTAATCTTGGACTTCCCAGCCTCCAGAACCCTGGGAAATAAACATTCATAGTTTCAGCCACCCAGTCTATGATACCTTATTCTACATATGTACTAAGAAACCTACTTAAAAACAAGGAAATCTCAGAGTGCTGGCACTATGTAGAGAATGTATACAAGTTAAAATACTCTAGCTTCATCAGCCTAGCAAAATGACAATTTTCTATCTCACGCCCTTGCTCTCTCCAGCCAGAGAGATTGTCACTTTTCACTACAACCAGTACCTGATCTCTTGGTATCTGATCACTCATCCCCTCTCTGATTTCCTGATGACCAATCTGCTCTGTCCTCTCCTGGGGGTCCACTCCTTTCTCCTTCCAGGTCCCCCCTTCCTGCCGTTCTTATTCAGTCACAAACCGGAGGGCTCTACTTTGCATGTCCACAGCATGCTGTCCATCAATCAAGTTCTGCTCTGTCCGCCAAATTAGCATACCTAACACAAACTCCGACGTGTCAGCTTTTCTCTGCAGGGACACAGGGCTATAATTTAATAAACAAAACATACAAAGGGATATGAGATATTTCCACACTGGTTCATTTAACATTGCTACACTGGTTCAAATGAATAATTTTCTCTGCAGCAAATGAAATGTTCTAGATTTCATTCCTATTACCTAAATGGGGACTCTGGTCTCTGAGTTATTGAATAATTTATATGGGAGATTTCTAGAGGTAGATTTATGACTGTCAAGTCCTAAAGGAAAACAAACAATGCTACTAGCTTAAAAAAGAAGTATGTTGAATTATATAGGACTGTCTATATACAGGTGTTTCTAAAGTTTGAGAATTGGTTCATTATAAACAATGAAATACTATAAAACTGATAAACCAATTTAGTCAAATTTATAATCACAAATTTTAGGCAAACAGCATCTAAGTAAGACTGTGATGCAAAAAAAAAAAATGTTTTTACTTGATATTTGCCTTTTTTTTTGGAGAGGTTTTTGCTATAGGGCACGTGTGCTCGCCAGAAAGACAGAGAGAGACAGAAAGGAAAAAATCACCCCCCAGGGGAGAAGGCCATACCACGATCCCTTCTCCTCTCAGGATCTTGGGTACGTGTGAGTATAAGCCACCGGGTCTGGGCCTCAAATCACGGTCGACTACATGGGAGTCCAGCGACATAGCTATTACACCAACTGCTAGTCCTAATATTTGTATTTTTTAAAAGGAATTACATAAATTACCTTAATTTTCACTTTTTTTCCTTCTATGCACTCATGGAGAGAGACAGAGGAGAGAGAGAATGTGAAAAAACACTCCCTAGGGGATTTGGCCATCACCACAATGTCTCTTCCTCTACTTTCCCTTGGGATTCTGGGCACACATGCTCATGCACCCAGCATGTTTACTGAGCTGCCAGGTCTGGGACTTGAGCCATGCAGTCAGTCATGTGAAATCTAGTCACCTTAAACACCACACCACCAGCTGGCCTCACTTTTTAAATTTACCATAGAGAGCATGCATGTGCATGAAAGAGACAGAAAGAAAGAGAGAGATAGGCCCAGCAGGTGGCATAGTGGTTAAGATGCTCGACTCCCACATGGTCTACTATGGTTCAGTCCTGGCCCCCATGGCTTCAAAAATCACGCTGGGGGGAACCAACAGTTAGCGTAATGGCTATGTCGCTGGACTCCCGCGAAGTCGACCACAGTTTACATCCCGGACCCGGTGGCTGAAAACTCACGCCAGGCACATGTGCATGCGTGCCCAAGATCCCAAGAAGAGAATGGAGGAGAAGGGATTGCAGCGTGACCATCCCCCCTGGGGGGTGATTTCTCCTTTCTGTCTCTATGTCTCTGTCTGTCTGGCGAGCGCATGCGCCCTATAGCAAAAATCTCTCTCAAAAAAAAATAAAATCACACTGGGCACATGTGTGTGTGTGGGCTCAAAATCCCAAGAGGAGAATAAAGGAGAAGGAACTTAAGTGTGACCTCCTAGGGGTGATCGCTCCTTCCTTCCCTCTCTCCGTGTCTCTCTCAGGTGAGTACACACACCCTATGGCAAAAATCTAAACTAAAGAAAAAGAGCATGTAAAATGGGTTCACTTTCTCTCTGTGTGTCTTTCTCTCTCTGTCTCCAGTGAGCACACACACCCTATAGCAAAAAAAAAAAAGAGAGCGAGAGAGAAAGAAGCACCCCACAGGATTTAGTCATGCGTTGATCCCGCCCTCCAGTCCTCTAGCCTGCCAGGATTCTGGGCAAATGTACACAAGCCCAGCGAGTTTTCAGGCTAACTGGCCAGAGACTCAAACCACAGTTGGCATGTGGTTTTCATCACTGGGCTTATTTTCACTTTTTAAATATTGCTATACTAATTACTAGTAATTAAAGGTTGGTGTTAAAATCAATATTTTTGATTTACAAGGACATTTTTTATGATTTATGAGACTGCCTAGAATCTTTTGAACACATTTGCTAAGTTTCATCAATTCTCCACATTTTAAGTGTTGTTTCTCCAAAGTGGAAGTTATAAACTCACCTCCTCAGCCTCCCTTGCAGCTAGAACATGGGCTTGTGACCTTGACACCAACAAGCAGATATAGCCATAAGAGTCCTTAATTCAGAAGAAAATGAAAGGAATGTAGAATCTTCTCTGATAGTAGGGATAAAAAAGGCCCCTGAGCTCAGGGTGTCAGGGGCCCCAGTAGAAGAGCTTCTATAGCTCTCTAACACCAGGAGGCGTCACCCTCTGTCCCTGGATTGAACAAGGACCCAGCCACGGCGCACTGAGAGCCATGTCCCTGGCTACTTTGCCTCTAAGACCTCAATCTTCTGCCACCTCCCTTAAGCTACTTAGTGTCCTCTGCTAAATTTATTTTCTCCCTAAAGTAACTACCATGAAATTGGTTGTTTGCAATCACAAACGTTTATGAGATCTTTAAAAATAGTTAAAAATATGTTTTAAATATCAGAAAAGTCTACATAAAGTGTTGTCTTATTTTGTTTTCAGTTTCTGTTTTAAGGTTTTTGCCATAGGGCATGTGCACTCACTGGAGAAAAACAGTGAGAGGGAAAGTGAGAAATCATCCCCCAGGGGATATGGCCACGCTGCAATCCCTTCTTCTCCATTCTCCTCCTGGGATTTTGGGTATGCATGCACACATGCCCAGCATGATTTTCAAACTTCTAGATCTGGGACTCAAACCATAGTCAGCCATGTGGGAGTCCAGTGCCTTAACCACTCTGCCACCTGCTGGCCCCTAAAGATTTTAAAATACACAAAATTTAAAAATTGAAACATTTACCCTTTCCTGTGCCCTTCTGAAGTTGATGTAGTGCTTTAAGAAGCTAACACAGAGGGGTAAAGTAAGCCTAAAAAAACAGAGAAGAGACTGTAAAGCTCCTTTTTTGGATTCTATTTGGAGTAACAACTGAAAAAAAAAAAAGAAAAGAAGAAAGATGATATGGGCTGTCTAATTATATTAATATTTAAGAGGGTGCATTCACGCAACCTCTGGAAATGAAACTGTTGTCAGCAGTAGACTTCACTGCATTGCAGCCAAAGGATACCACGAAGTTATGATCGCATGTTTGGGTAGGAACAGGATCTGATGCTAAAGTGTTAGCAAGTGTTAACACAAATGAGTTTTTTAAAACATTTATTCATTTATTTATCTATTTATTTGTTGTAATTTTCAAGCCACTGGGTCCAGGACATGAACCACACTAGGCCATGTGGGAATCCAGCACCTTCACTACCACACCACCTGCTGGCCCTCAAATGAGAATCTTAGAAGGGTGGGGAATTTTTTAAAATATGCACATGTATTTAGCTAGTTCCACAAGTATTCTGTATAGCAAACTACTCAAAAGTCAGAGGCTTACAACAATACTATCTATCTTCCTTGCTCATGGGTCTGCAAGGCAGTGGTTGCAGACTCCTGAGCTCCAGATTTCAGGGTGGATTCGCTTCGCCTCTGCTCCATGTGTCTCCGCATTCTCCCACAGCGGCATCCGAGCAGACCCTGTTCTCACGGGGAACAGCAGGAACAACAGGAGCCAAGTCAAACCAGGAAGTACATCTCAGCACTCAAAGTCCATTGGCAGGCGGGAGTCACACAGTCACACCCAACATCCATGAGGCAATAGTACCTCCTCTAACAGGAGGTTAGATAGGGTTACATGGCAAAGGTGAGGGCTTACAACTCTAAAAGGGGGAGAGGATGAATAGGGGGAAACACTACAATCAACTGCAGAGCCCACTCCCTGACCTAGGGCACTGTCACCCTAATTAAGCAACTCTCTAAAGAGTAAAAGTGCATTGGGGGGCAGATGGTGGAGTAGCAGTGCAGCGCAATGCTCTGAACAGCTGACCCATGTGAAGGTTCCCAGGCTGTGTCCTGAGACCTGCCTCAGCATACTGGGTGAGTGTGTGCCCATGATCTGGAGCTGGCTGACGCTGGGTGGATGGTGGCATCAAGGCCCTATTGGGGGTATAGTCTCTCTGTTTCTCTCTCTTTCTCAGTCTCTCAGTCTCTTTTATGCTTATGGGAAAAAAATAATTAAAAAAAAAGTTTAAGGTTTTTTGTCATAGGGTGAGTATACTAGCAGAGAGAGAGAGAGATAGAAAGTGAGAGGGAAAATGAGAAATTACACCCCCCCGGGGGGGGGGGTGGCCACGCTGTAATCCCTTCTCCTCTGTTCTGGAATCTTGGGCATGCATGCACATGCATGGGGTGATTTGCAAGCCTCAGGTCTGGAACTCAAACTGTAGTCAGCCGTGTAGGAGTCCAGTACCTTAACCCCTATGCCATCTGTTGGCTGCAATTTTTTAAAAAAATTAAGAGGTTTTTGTCTTAGGGTGCATGTGCTCACCAGAGACAGAGACAGTGAGAGAGAAAGTGAGAAATCACCCCCCAGGGGGGATGGTCACACCTCAATTCCTTCTTCCTTCTCCCCCGGGGAGCTTGGGCACACATGCACACACCTGGCGTGAGTTTGAAGCCACCAGGTGCGGGACTCAAACTGCAGTTGGCCATGTGGGAGTCCAGTGACATAACCACTATGCCATCTGTGGGCCCACAACTTTAAAATTTTTGAAGAGTAAAATACAATAGTTTATCATGGCTTGACAGGTCTCAGCCACACATCACCCACTCATTGTCATCTTACCCAATGGCACCTCAGATTATGTGTAAAGATTAGACCAGACACACACAATGGCAATTTAAACAACAGCCACATAATCATCTGCAAACATCTCACAACAGTCTCCTCTCACAGCGGACACAATAACTACTATAGATCTCTAATGACCAAACCTCAGTACTGCAAAGCCATTCTTCTCATTCAGTCATTTAAACTTCCTGTCCAGCCCACTAAATCAGGTTTCTCCTATTCTGAATTACACTAACCTAAATAGAGCATACCCTATCACTGACTCATTTACCTGATGTCATACTTAATTGCTCTTCAGTCCCTCCACGTGTAGTTAATTTATCAGACACAATGTATTTGAACTTGAAAGTGATTCCACAGAAGAGAAGTTAGAGTCAAAATACAGCAAAGGCATCTCCCGGGGCATCTTGCAATGAATTTAACCTATGGGATCCAAAACCAGTAACTGCTTCGACAATACACATTAACCCAAGCCCTGAAAATCACTGTAATAACTGACAAGTGTGAAAATGACTCAAATATAATGAATTCAATGTCTTCTTGCCTTCAAAATTCAGACAGAAAGATCATTAGTTTCACTGGTCACAATCGAAGAGGCCAGCAGTTAACGCTCCTAAGGTATGAGCCACCTACCAACGCCTCTCCTGGGAGCCAGCCTCAGACACCCACACTGTACTGGAGAAACTACTGGGGGCACAGGGAACCCCTCATCTTTGAAGCAAAGACCAAAAGCCAGGTGAGGAAAGACACAAAAGGAAAATATTCTTGAAAAGAAATGGCTATTCCCTTCTGAAAAATGCACAGCACCTCCTGGTAACTGAAAACAGAGGCCCAGGGCTGACAGAGCCTGCACGCAGGCAGACATCATAAAAAATGAGGTGTACAGTCCCAGGGGAGAAGGGACAGCAGCAAGTGCCACCTTTGTAATTGCATCAGGTGTGAAGGTAGCTGCCTGGCCACCCTGCCACTGAGACCAAACGCACAGGACAGTAGCTGTCATTTTTGTGCAAAATTAAAACTGCCACATAAAAGAAAAAGAGTCCCTGAGCCTGAGCGAGGCCTGAGAAGTAAAGATTCTCTAGTTCAGTGTAATTATGAGGGGATTCGCGGCAACACCTCACACTGAGGAATACCAATGAGCAGCTCTATGGTAACCGGGGAGACAAATCTATCAGCAAGATGAACAGGAAGACACCGGAGAAACGAAATGAACTCCCAACTCGACTGTTCCATATTTCTGTAAACTGTGGCTAATAACCCCTACGCACCAAAACAGCCTTGAATTTTTCTTTTAATTTCCAAAACCTACTTTTACGGTTTATTCTTGAGCAGTTTTCACACATGCTACAGCTGACGCAGCTGTTTGGGAGCTATCTCTGCAAATCTGCTCGGTTTGAAAATAATAATTTCTGAGTGGAGAAGGCTGGCTAGGAGCTAGATGCTGTGAGCAGCAATTCTTACGGCTGTCTCAACCAACTCACCCTTTGTGGGACTGATTCTTTTTCCTTTACGGTTTAATAATAAAAAATAATAATAATAAAATCCTCTCTTTCATTTTTCATCTTAAAAAGGAAGCACCCATTATCCCCTCACCTTCTGCCACGCTCTTTCAGGCAACTCATCTCTGCCAGCAAGGGTCAGAGAGCAAGCGGAGGGTCAGAGGCCCGGTTCCGAACCCTGGCAGTACTGACCAGGTGTGTTTGGGTCACTCCTTCATCATGAACCCCCAGGAAGTTTGGGACTTCTAGATGCTTCCAGAGAGATATACAGTCAGTTCATATACCATATGTATCATCACGGCCTGGGGCTTTGGACCAGTTAGAAAACACCCAGTCCAGTAGAGCTATTTTCCTCTCCAACCTAGTTTGCTTTACATAAAACATGCCGAAAAAGTTACATCGCCTCACGAAACTGAGATCTAACATTGGGGACATCTTTTAGCACGAATATGCTTTTGCTTGGCTTATCATCAGAATAGTATCATTTTGTGTGCAGGGTGTGTGTGTGTGTGTGTGTGGTATTTTAACAGGATCTTCCTGTGTTGTCATCCTCCTGCCTCAGCCTCTCCCAATACCTGAGACCACAGGCTGTGGCCCCACCAGCCCGAGGACCTTCAGACAGGGTCTCACTATGTGGCTCACACCGATGGGAGCTAGTGATCCTTCTGCCTCAGCCTCCCAAATAGCTGGGATTGCAGATACCCGCCACCACACTCAGCTTTTTTGAATGGGCTGGAAACCGAACCCAAGCCTCCCATATGGCCTCAGTCTGCCAAGCAGCAGTGCCAACCAGTCAGTTTTGCCATAAAAGTGTGACTGTAAATCTTGCTTTTGGTTTAAACCATTAAATACAGAGGAGTAGCTAATGTATCTTGGCAAACATAATTAGAATGTCTTACAACTTGTCAAAAGTTTCTATGGATTTAAAAAATAACTTTACTTGGAGACCAGCAAATGCCATAATGGTTGCATTGCTAAGCTCCCACATGGCCAACTGCAGTTCGAGTCCCAGACCTGGTAGCTTGAAACTCATGCTGGACACATGTGCATGCATTCCCAAAATCTCAAGAGGAAACAGAGGAGGTGAGATTGTGGCGTGGCCATCCTCCATGGGGGATGATTTCTCGCTTTCTGTCTCTCTGTCTTTGTCTCTCCGGTGAGCACACTTATCCTATAGCAAAAGTCTCTCTTAAAAAAAAGTAACTTGGGAACCAGCAGTTAACGTAATGGCTATGTCGCTGGACTCCCACTTAGTCGACCACGGTTCGCGTCCCGGACCCGGTGGCTTAAAACTCACACCGGGCGTGTGTGTGTGCGTGCCCAAGATCCCGAGAGGAGAATGGCGGAGGAGGGACCGTGGCATGGCCATTCCCCCTGGGGGGCGATTTCTCACTTTCTGTCTCTATGTCTCTGTCTGTCTGGCGAGCGCATGTACCCCATAGCGAAAAACCTCTCAAAAAAAAAAAGTAACTTCACTTGTTTTTTAAATTTTCTTCCTTTTACTGCTTCTTTAAAATTTCACTAATTCAACCACTTGTGAAAAATCAGGTAGATCCTCCTTCATTGAAAGGGACGATGCAGCCCATGAAAAATAACTGACAGGCTTACCTTTACCTATGATGGCTTCTTCTGAGATTCCATTGTCATCTTTCTCTAAGCCCTCAAGTTACCACTGTTTTTGGGTATTTCCCATAAAAAGTTAACTGATTATGTAATCACTATGACGAGTCATTTAGTAAATAACATCACTATTTTT